GTGTGCTGTGCACGAGCGAGCGAGAGGGAGAGAGAGAGCGCAGCGCGTCTTTTACGCTAACAGAGAGAAGGAAAGAGGGAGAGCCAGCCAGCCCAGTCGCCGCCACGCAAGTTATTCACCCCAACAACAACAACAACAACAACAACGGCTACGCACACTTTGCCAGTTGGTTCTCACGTATGCGTGCCGTGATTTAGGTGTGTGCGTGTGAATGTGATTTGAAAATAAAGAAGAATAAAAATAAGAGGCCCAAAAAGCATTCAAAATAATAATATTGAAAACGAATCAACAACAATTGATACAACAATAAGAGAGAACAGAGAGAGAGAGAGAGAGAGAGAGGAGAGTTTGTGAGCGCGAGAGTCAAAAGCAAGACTGAGATTGACACTAAGACTATGCCTGCCATCCGGCTAATCACAGAGGGCACAAAACAAAATTGACGCTAAAAGAGCAGGCAAGGCACAGAGAACGTGAACTTGGCTTGCAGCCAAACAACAAAGAATACAAAGTCAAAAGAAACTGAATAACTAAAAGAAGCCCAAACTGTGATCTCTCCAAAGATCGCGGACAGAATACAAGATGATGATGATGGACACACTGGATGCCCAGCCCATGGACGTGGCGCCCGCCGTGGCCGTGGCAGCAACAACAGTTAGCAGCACGCTGGACTTTACGGCGACCATGGTGAATATGGCCGCTACGGCGGAGAGCAATAACAACAATCATATCGAGATGGCCGACTACAAGGAGCACCGCAAGAACAAGAAGAAGAAGCGCGAAAAGCGTGAAAAGGACAAGGAGCACCGACACAAGCATCGCGAGCACCGGGAGCATCGCCGGCATCGGGAGCGGGACAGAGATCGCGAATCCTCGCATCACCAGCCGCATTCTCATCACAACAATAGCCAGCACTCGACATCCGCCTCCTCATCGCCCTCGTCCGCCTCGACAACGCCATCGGCTACCATCGAATATGTTGGCGGCTCTGCCTCAGCGTCGCCATCCTATTTGGGGGCCGGCAGCGGCAGCGGTGGCGGCGTCGGCGGCGGCATCAGTGCAGCAGCTGTCGGAGTTGCCGCTGCTGCTACCACATACCCGCACAATTTAAAAATACGTTTCCTGCTCTCCGGGGTAAGAAGCCACACCTAAATTCTAACCAATCCGTGTCTAGTTTATGCCACAAATTGGCGCCCTTGTCGCCAGCATGTTGCAAGTTGCAACTTGCAACTGCCACTGCAACGGTTCGCTTTTAAGTGTTGATTCTATTTTGAGAACTTGTTCGCCTTATCCAAGATGTGTCATCCATTTGGCAGCTGTTGGAAAAGTTAATCCAAGGCTGGCAATTGTTGTTTGGACTCGTTAAAGCAAAAGCTGATTTGATTAGATAAATTTTACCTTTATTGCCAACTTCCTTCAGACGAACCTTTTTTCAAATAGAATGCGAAACTTACCCAAAGAAATACAGCAGGAAAACCCATTAGAACTCTATAAATATTTAATATTACAAAAATTCTGATATTTCAAAAAACTAAACATAAAGTCTAAAGCTATAGTCATAGGAAAATATATTCTATTAAAATTGAAAGGATCCCGAGAAATGTCAAAGAAGCTATTTCAAAAAGTTTCTTGGTAATATTTAAATCAGCAAAACCGTTAAAGATATTACCTGATCTAGCAAATTGAAGCAAAGTCGGCGACATTTTATTGAAGCACGCCGTCACGCTATTCGCTTTTGGGGCTTCCTCTCATGGCAGATCCCTTTTGGCTATTTGCCTTTGTTTATAAATTTTACATAAAACTAAAAACAGACCGAAATCAAACAAAAAAGTCTTAAGTCATAAAATGATTTCTATTCAAAGTGAAAAGATCTTAAGAAATATGTCAGGAAAAACTCCATTAATATTTAAATCAGCATTTTGTTTCAACTAAATTTGTATTTGGAATGCATTTAGACCCCTTTGAAAAGTGATCCTCTGTGAAAGGGGGCGATTTGGAGTTCTTGGGAAGGACAATTTGCATAATTTATGCGGGTCACTTGTGCCAGTTTAAAGTTTGTGCAATTCAATGACAAACACTTTGGCACTTCATCAATAATTGAAGACGCAGTTATTTCGAGTCGTGCAGCTGCAACCTGAGAGCGGTCGCACCTGCCACCGGGCCAAGTGGCACAAAGCAGCAGAGGAGGAAGAAGAAGGCGGTGCAGGCGGCGCACTTGCAATTATAATGAGGAATGCCTCCAATTGGCCTGAGCTGCAACTAGTGCAGGCTGCCCCGATTATTGATTAGTTTYGTGTGGCATGTGGCATGTGGCATTACGTGCTGCACTAACAGGAGACGGGGCAACAGCTCGAGGCTAGCGGCACAGACAGCTGTTCGCCTTATCCCTTTTCGTTTGGCGCGCTCAAGGATAATGCCTGGCTGTATCCTGTGTCTCTGCAGGCTCTCAGCCTAGTTTACGACAGCTGCCTTCTGGGCTCTCTATGTATGTATGTGTGTGTATCTGTGTGTGTGCTGTGTATTTTACTACCCCGACGTTTCTGTTTTTGTTGCGGCTGTTGCTTCCTGGCAGCTGATTGATCCTGGCTTCGATCTTATTACAGCTGCCAGCTATGTCTGCCGTTTTCTTCTCTTGCTTCTTTTTACACTTCTACTTCTTTCGCCCTGTTTCAGCCGTCTCAGGTATGCGGGGCATTTGTCTTCAGTGCTCTTCCCTTGTATTCTGCTCTGCATTGATATTTCAATTCGCAAGCAGGACTTTTTGCTATACACATGATAGGGATATTTATATTCGAAAATGTATAAAATATATTTATAAAGAGAGACAGAGAAAGAGAGAGAGAGAGAGAGGGAGAGAGAACGATACTAATATTTCGGAATTCTTGTAAGAATCGTAAAAATGCTTAAATCAATTCTTTTAACCATTTATAACTTTTCAATGTTTTCTTGATCTAACTACATTTTGGTGTAAACCCACAAATCTTCAACATATATATATAGATGAGCTTATTGCAATTTGTAGAAGCTGTGCATATATTTTTTAATAGTTTTCATTGAAATTTTTTCAATTGATCTGCATACTTTCTATAAAATGAAGTTGAACTTCAAATTGCAAAAAGCTAATGCTGTTATTGTCAAAAGTAGAGTATTGAAATACTTTGCTATGGCTTAGTTTTTAAGCTCTTCCATTCAGTCTCTACCTGGCAAAGACAAACTCAATGTCCTGTCTAACACACAGGAGCCGTTCCTTCGGTCGTRCATTGTTCCAATCGCGTTTGTTTGTTTGCCTTTGGCATTCCTTTTCTGTTATCCATTTATTTCAATTTGGATAATTCAGGAAATTTCGCGATGTGCTCGGTTTGCGAAATGTGCTGCAGGACAACCCTTTTCTGTGGCCCGATCGGAGAGTGTGAGAATGTGTGCGAGAGAGCGAACCCTCTCGGAAAGCTACTCAGACATACGCCAATATAATATTTATAGTTGGTATTTGGTTTCCGGCTGTCGCTTTTATTGAATTCGCAAAGGCTTGCTAGGGTCTACGAATAAAAAGAGTTGTACAGCAATTGAATTATGTACGGAAGTACAGTGAGACCCATTCGCAAATGCAAATGCAAAGCACGCAATCCAGAAAGGGGTTGATGGGATATTAGCTTCTGCAGCAGCAGCAGCARCAGCAACAGGATAATCACTTTCAGTAATGGCGGACACTTTTGGCCAACAGCTGCTCCGTACTGAATTCATAGAACCGATTTTTTACAGCCTCTGCGTCTTGTTTGTATTTTGTCTTTGCGTTTTCTTGACCCAAATCTAATGAGGCGTGAATGTGTTTAGCAGAAATTCGACACTTTTTATTGCATTCAGCAACAGGCAGGCTAGATTGGCTGGCAGCTGGACAGGTAGGTAGGTGGCAGGGCGTTGAATGATTTGTGACTTCTGATTGGAGTTGTTCCTATTACGACCAGGTGGCAACGCTGTGCATAGTTTCTGTCTACGTGACTACAATACCATTACAATAACAACATCAATGACAGCTACTGAACCCCCACCACCCAAATAAACAACAACGCGCTCACGCATTTAAAACGAGAGAGCGGGAGAGTGAGAGAGTGGGAACAAATAAAAGGGAACAGTTTGTTTTGAAAAAGAGCACGATACCATGAGAGAATGGGAACGGCTGTTCCCAACGTCTGTTGTGCTGCTCTTTATTGTTTCGTGCATTAGCTGCACAAGCAGCATTGGCTGCTCGTTCTAAACACTCACACATACACACTCACACAGATGTGTATCGTTGCATCTGGCAACATATGGGGAAACCACAAAATAACAAAAAAAAACTCGTCCATTGTTGCAGCACTTCTTGCCCTCGCCGAGTTTTGACAGCGGCTGCTGCATTTTTCTGACTCTAAGTCACATTATTACATGTTGCTGCTGCTTTTACCATTGACAGCGACGACGACGCAGCCGATAAGCTTGAGCTGCATTACATACATACATATGTAGAAGTGCGTGTGTGTAAATGTGTCTGTTGACTGGCAGCTTTTATAATCTATATGGAACACATGCGGCGCCGCCGTAACCCCTTCCCAGTAAAAAGCAACTGTGCTTTGCTTTGATTGTTGTTGCTGTCTGTTAACAGCCGGCTGTTACTGTCCAATGTTAATGTTAATCTTGTGTTTTGATTCAGTTTGTTTTTCTTACGCTTTATGTCTGTAAACAAGTGTGTTTACATGCCGCAATTTGCGGCCGGAAGTGTCGACACGATTTTTAATGGCTGTAGCATATGAAAGAAAAGAAGAAAAAAACTAAGAGCTGCTATCGCCAGATTTCATCTGATGAACGCGAATTCTGGAAATCAACTCGAGCATTTGCTAAGCCAAATCTTATGTAGTTCCTTAACCCTAACCCTTACCCTTGACCCTTGACATTTTCTATAGAAATAGATTTTCCCACTTAAACTAAACTAACTTAACTAATTTGTATTTTCCATTCTTAATCGATTGCAGCAACGCACTGAATTGAGTCCACCCACGCATCAAACATCCGCCACTGCTGAGGTGAATGCCACGTTAGCCACCACAGTGCCAAGCGCAGCGATAGCACCAAGTGGCACGACGATAGCAACCACAGCGAGCACATCAATCGCCCCCACCATCTCGACCAGCAGTGCAAGCAGCGTGGTTGGCGGTGCGGCCATTGGTGGCTATGCGAAGTCAGAGGCAAGCAAAACAATCAGCAGTAGCAGCAGCAGCACCGGCAGCAGCAACAGCAAGCATGGCAACAGCAGCAGCAGCAACAAGGACAACAACAATGTTGTCACAAGTGGAGCAGCTGGCACCAGCAGCAGCARCAGCAGCGGTGCACCCAGCTTGTATGTTTCGGTGCCGTTGTCCACGGCCAATGTACCTGGCATCAATCTGCCCAACAGCAGCAGCAGCAGCAGCAATGGTGAGTTCAGCAACATGCCTAAATTACAATAAATAGCACGAATTTATTATTTTCTTCAATCTCACACAGAAACGCACCCAGCTCAGGCGACACAGTCACCGCTGACCGTCGGCAGCGCATTTGTAACGGGCACCGCGACAGCTGCAACTGCGGCAGGCAGTGCGACCAGCTCCGGCTCTGTTATACAACATCAGAGCGGAAAGTCCTCGCCAGCGCTGGGTGGGCTGGTGAGCAGCAGCGCCAGCTCGGTCAACCTGACGGCCACCACGACGGAGAGCGGAAACTTGAAGATCAGCTTTGAGAAGCAGACGACTCGTGTGCAGCAGCTGCAGGAGCAGGAGGCGGCACCGGCGCGACGCAGCAGGTAATTATGGAAACAAACTCACCACAGCAAATTCACCATGGCTCATAGTTACGACAGGCCAACAAACAAATTGTTTCGATTAGTTTCAGTTGTGTTCTGTTGTTTTGTTGCGTTGCTTTTATTACGTTTTCAGTTTGTGCTCTAGCGAAAGCCAATCACGTGCTGCAATTCCATTTATATATCTTTATATATCCACACGTACACACACACACACATACGCACTCATTTCGCCAATATTAACTCACATACTGCGCTCTCTAAAGAAAATATGTTACTCTCTTTCTCTCTCCCTATTCTATTGCTCTCGCCTGACATTTTGCTTTATCCACCACATTGCAATATAACAAACCCACCACAAATTAACAACTAACCACAACAACACGTAGATCGCGATCGGGTGAGAATGGTAATCATCACCACCATCACCCAGCTCACCAAACCCACCACAACCACCACCAAACAACGCAACCACAGCAATCACAATCGTCGCAGCATCAGCAACAGCAACAACAATCGCTGCTTGCCAGCGCATCCTCCTCCACGTCCAATTCATCGCTGACCACGCCCACCAAGCCGCAGTCCCGATCGGGCAAGAAGCGCGCTGCTGCGCTCAACAAAAGTGAAGCAACAGCTGCCGCCACAGCCGCAGCAGCAACATCAGCATCTGCAGCAGCAACATCAACAACAACATTGGCGACAACCTCGAGTGCATCAGCAACTGGTCTAAGCACAGTCGATAAGCTGAGCCGCAATAGCAGCGGCAGTCGCCACAGCTCACCCCACTATCGTGCCACGCCTACACCACCGCCACAAGCTCTGGCGCCGGCAAACTCATCCCCAGTGGTCATGTTGCAGGCGTTATCCTCCTCCTCCATTGACTCGCCGCCGGCAACAACTCGCAATACGCGTAACCAAAATAACAGCAGCAGCAGCAACAACAACAATAACCAAAGCCATGCTGCTGCCACAGATCATGCCGGCAGCTCAGCATCCTCCTCGTGCTCCTCCACATCCTCAATGTCCTCAGCCAGCAGCAATGCTGTTATTAGTCTCTTAGACTCCCCCGTCAACATGTCCACACAGGCCCAGCAACCTGCTGCTAGTTACAGCAGTAGAGCTGCCAACAGCAACGGCAACAGCAACAGCAACAATGTTGCTGGCAGCAGTGCTGCCAAGCCGTTGAATAAGAAAATGTTGCGGGCGCAGCAGTCGCAGCTGTATCAGCAACAGCAGCAGCAACAAAGTAGTTTAAGCAATGCACCACCCGCTAACGTCTCCTCACCCACTAATCTTAGTTCAGCTAGTAGTCAATTTAGTCAATTGCAACAGCAACAGCAGCAGCAACAACAGCAGCAACAGCAACAACAACAACAGCTTAAGCAACACCAAGATCTAGAAATTTTGCAATTTATTAATACAAATACAAATGCTTCTTCCATGACGACAACAACAACCACATCATCATCATCGTCATCGTCAACCACAACATCGTCAACAACAACACCAACCACAAACAACAATAAATCAACATCAAAATGCTACAGGACACCCGATCTCAACACGGCCAGCAGCTCAAACAGCATCTCAGCAGCAACCACCTCCAGCAGCAGCAGCAACAACAACGCCATCGGCAGCAGCAGCAACAGTCTGTTAGGCGTCAACAGCAACATGAACAACACGAGCAGCGGCGGTCTCAAATTCAGCTACGAGGCACAAACGATAAGCAGCCAGCTGGATGTGCCCATGCTGCCGGTTAGCGCCATCAAGGACTCGCCGCCCAGTTCGCCCGGCTCGGAAATTGGCGCCGCTTTGCACACGGCGACAGCAGCGCCAACCACGGCCAGCAGCAATGTGCGCAAGCGTGGCCGCAAGGCCAAGGATGCGACATTGGCAGCGGCTGCTGCTTCGGCAGCCGCAGCAGCAACAGCGGCTGCCACTCAACCGGATCTCAAGGATGTGCGCATCCTGCAAAATGGCATCGGAGCTGCCACCGTGCCAGCCAGCACGCCCACGCCCCCTGCCACGCCTGCCACGAGTGCGACGAGCGTCAGTGGCAGCAGCACCACTTCCAGCTCTGGCAACACCATCATAACGCACACAGCCACCCATATGCTGGGCAATCATGTTAATCCCAACAGCAGCGTGGCCCAGAAGCTGTCCGAGCAACTGCACATGGAGGTGCAGGATCATGCCATCTACACGTCCGACCCCATGACATCGCAATTTGTTGGTGTGCCCTTTCCCGGCAAGCAGGTAATTAAATACCACAGTTCAATTAGTTAGAGTCGTCCCACTAATCTCTTTTCCTTTACTTTCGCAGCGCAATGCCAACGCGGCGGCTGCTGCTGCGGGCAGTGCAACGCCAGCGCCGAATCCGCTGCAATCCATGTTTGGCGGCGGCGGCATCAATGGCAACATGCCCATACCGCAGAGCTTGGAACAGCTGCTGGAACGCCAGTGGGAGCAAGGCTCCCAGTTTCTAATGGAGCAGGCGCAGCATTTCGACAGTGAGTATGGCTAATCCCCAAAAGAGAAACACACGCATACCGCGAGCGAATCGAATTAAACTTGCACTTTTTTCAAAAACACAGTTGCCTCGCTGCTGAACTGCCTCCATCAGCTGCAGAGCGAGAATTTGCGCCTCGAGGAGCATGTGACCAGCCTGATAGCACGACGGGATCACCTGCTGGCCGTCAATGCCCGCCTCCAGATACCGCTCAACAATGCAATCAACAATGCCAAAGCCGAGACGCATGGTAAGTAGTGGCATCCACTCAATAGCACTTGGTGTCGGCACCCGCAACACACATACACACACCCACTCACACACTCACACATAACTACAAATACATGGTTAATGGAGGCGCCTACAAAATGGATTCAAGTTTTTGTAATTGTACATACATACATATATTAAACATGAAAAGAAAGTAAAAATAACAGTCTAAGTTATGCCTGGCGTTGCCAGACCTCATACTAATGCTACAAATGACATTTCGCATATATTCTCGCATTAATTAAATTAATTTAAGTTTAACTGGGTACAAGCGATCACTGTACATAACATAATATAACAGAATATATATAAGTAAAAACAATACATTTTATCCAGCAAAAATTCAAAACAAATGGAAACATTTTCAAAAGAATGAATACTTGTACAAATATCTACACTTTCAATCAGTTTTCCACATAAGCTTAGATAAGGTTTAACTTACATTTCCTACACATGTAACAAACCGAGCTATTTTACTTTACTCAAAATATGATTAAAATTAAGTTACTTTTATGCACATACGAACGCAAAATTTTTCCTTATTTTATTTATTTTAAAAATGAATAAAATGTGTTTTTAAACCAAACAAAAAAATCTATCAACAAATTATATTTATTTGACTTGTGTTTAATCAAATCTTCATTTTCTCACCCACTGTAAAAGCCTAACAATGGCATGGGCGCAACTAACAGCTGCAGTCTCTGTTAAGTGACAGCTCGTTATCATTTGAATCTAATCTCAACTCTATGCTAACAGAATATGTTGCTATAATCAGTCATGTTAAATGGTGAAGTTTATCGGGCATTCTGTACAGACTTTTTTTTTTTGGTGCATGCAACTGAGCTACACACACAATCAATCACACAAATAGTATTTCACAGCTTAACATGTGTGTAAAAAGAGAAAACTTGTACAACTTTTGCCGTTTTCACGTCAGCCTCCAACAACAGCAGCAGCAACAGYAATAACAGCAGCAGCAGCAGTGCTCTCAATGCTGCCACAACAATTGCAGCAGCCGTGTCGCTGGCCACAACCGCTATAAATACAACAATACCAACAATGGCCAACAGTCGGGCTAGCAGCGCTAGCAGCATTCTGGACTTTCGTGGCAACAGCAGCACCAGCAACAGCAACAATAACAGCAGCAGCAACAGCAACAATATAAACAACAATCCCACAGCGTCTAACACCAATGCAACCACATCAGCGACACCAACGGCTGCCAACCTAGCCATGGGCAATACAACCAGCTTGGGCTTGAGGTGAGTTATAAAATGACTACAAATGCAACTAAGTCACTGTTAAATCTTTGCATTAGACACGTTACAACGTCTCATGGATCATATAATAGTAGTGCGAGCAACAGCAACAACAGTAGCAATAACAGCGCCAGCAACAGCATGCACACAACACATCAACAACAGCAGCAGCAGCAGCAACAACAGCAGCAGCAACATGCGACGTATCTGCAATCGCAGCAGCAGCAACAGCAGCAGCCATCGCATTTGCACCACGGCAGTGCCGCTGTCGCCGCTCATATGTTGGGCGTCGGTATGGGCCCGGCTGCGGCAATTGGACGAGGTGGGTCAGCTACAGCGATTGCTGCAACCACTATAACAACAATAACAACCACAGCAGCAACAGCTACGTTGACAACAACAACAACAACAACAGGCAGCTTGCAACATGGTGTGGCACACTACGCGCATCCGCATTCGCACCACCCACACCACTTTCCTAGCATTCAAGTTCAGTTGGGTGCCGGCGGCGTTCACGTTGATGACTTGAGTAGCTCCTCCACCTCTTCCTACGCAGCGCAACATGCGCTCTACAGCACGCATCACCAGGTAGTGTGTGTGCGTGTGGGTGCATGTGTGTTTGTGTTTGTATGTGTGCGTGTGCGTGAGAGAGTGTTCCTTTAGAGCATTTTACAATTACAGTTGACACATACATATGCACATCCAACCATATATGTATATCTATATATATGTGTATGTATCTATCCAATATCTGTTGTTGTTTCATGTTTATATCATTTTGATTTTATGCCGACCCATCATGCTGTATATTTACATTCAATCAATATTTCAACCAATTCCAAATTCATGTGATTTGTTTTGCCCCCAAACTGCAAGCGCCTTTCTCATCCAAAAATTTTACTCTGCCACAACAAATTAATAATAATTGTATATGGTAAATTGTTCGTTGTTTTTGTGTGCCAGCGCTGAAAGATATTATAAACTGTTACTGTTAATTCTATGCGTTAACATTACAGATGCACTCGCATAGTAACTAACATACTGTTGTCACCTCTATTACAGTCCCAACAAAGGCGCGACGATAACCTCGCCAAATCTAGCTGAAAGTCATATCGTGAGCATGAGCAGCAACAGGTCCCGCATCCATTGAAGAAGAAGCCGACGCTGGCCAGACGCATCCGGCCAACCAATAGCACCAGCAACACAACAAAGCCACTGATCACCGACAAACCCAAAATCCACACATACACAAAGCTGAAGCAAACTGCCGTTAGCTTCCAGCAGCAACACCACAATGAAGAAGACGATGTAAGTGCGCGCGCTGTCGCATTTGAGAAAACAAAATGAAATCAATTATTTCGATTTCAGCTCAGCAGCAGTAGCAGCAGCTCTTCCACGTTTTCATCGTCCTCGCAGCAGCACTCCTCGGTGGACTATGAGGCGGAGGATGAGAACGAGGACAAACAGCGACAGAGAAGGCACAAAGATGAGACCGATAGCCTAATACATGTGCAGAACTTTCTGAAATGCTTTGGTGCCAACGCCGCGACGGTGAGGCCTCCAACAGCCACTGTTGCAGTTGCCGCTACAGTGTCAGATAAAGTGAGCGCAACATCGAGCTCTGAGCTGCGCAGATGGCGGCAAGCACATCGTGCAACAGCTGCTGCCACCACAACAGCAACAGTAACATCAACTATAACAGCAGCAACAATAAGCGCCATTCAAGCAACAACAACAGCACCAACAATAACCACATCAACAATAACAACGCCACAAACTCTTTTGACCAACACCAAACCGCAAAAATTTCAAATCAATACCAAATTCTTACGCAAGCCGCGTAACAAATTAATGAAAATGCTGCCAACAACAATGTTGCAGCAGCAGCAACAGCAGCAGCAACAACAACAGCCAGAACAGCAAACACAGCTATTTATCGATGATTCCAACGCCAAATTCAAAGACTTTTCAATTGACTCGTTATTGAATAAGTAAAACGCAACAGAATTAACAACTAGCCCTATTATTTGTAGCCTAATTCTTCACAGAGCCACCCGCTAAAACCGCGTTCCTAAACCCCCCAAACTACATATGTATATTATTTTTTGTTTAGCCAATCGTACAGAATGTAACACATAGAAATCGAATATAAATATATATATATATAATTAAGTTGTTTATTTATTACATACATTTGTACAACTAATGGCGCAATTCGTAATTAGCATTAGCAGGCGTAAGCATATGTACATAAACAATTACTTAATTACACGTTAATAAACCACAGCAAAAGTGCTAGAATTTAAACTATGTTTTTTTTTTTTGTCTTGGACATTTTTAATTTGAACTAGATGAACTTGTGCTAACAGATCCCTCCATCGGAATTCTCTTCCTTGTCGTTAGAGGCTGCCACTGGAGCTTCCAGGACTTCACGTACGCGTAACATCATTTCCTCGCGCACTTCATTTGGCACCATAGCGCGAGCCTGTATAAATTTAAAATGTAAGACAAGTAAATATAAACTTGGCCAGTTCGATACTCACATCCGGTATAATACTCTTGGCAAGCTCTTCGCGTGAAACATTAGCTGAATCACCTTCCTTCAATTTCTTCCTTATCATTTCTTCAATATCCTTTCGCCATCCGCAGTCAATTAGACGCTTTTCAAGAAAATCCTTTAATTCTTTGGTATCAGCACTATTAAGAAAAGATTTATATGTAAACTTAGAGTCGGTGCCAGTATCCTTGCTGTCTGCCATAGTTTAATTTTTTTATTAACATAAATCTTTGTATTTGTCGGTTCTGAATGCAACAATAACAAAGTACATTTAAACACACTCGAATAAGTATTTCAAAGCCTGCTTGTTGGCATCGATATTTTTATTAGAATTAAAATACTTGATCAGTTTATTATCGCTTTAATCGGTTATTGTTTAGCCACCACAAAATACCAAATATCTGAATACCAACACTAACTAGAGACACTGACCAGAGAACACATAGACTAGACATGTAGAACAAATTTTTCTACAGCAGAAATCCTAAATAAATAAATAATTTAAATATTTCTTTATAAAAATAAATAAAAAAAAAATTTATAACAATTTCTTACGAACTGTCAAACTTGAGCTCTTTAAAATTTGAAAGTTGTCTTGATGTTATCGATACTTTTGTATTTATCAATATGTCAATTCGTGCCAGAACTTAATTTGTAATCGGCCGACTACCCTGACGACGAACTTAAACATTTTGTTGTATTTATAATTGAAAACAGAACGGACATAAAGTTATATTATTATTATTAAGTAACTCTGGCATATAATAGGATATAACAGTAAGTAAGCGGATAAAAATACCAAGTACTTAAAAAGCCCCGAGAAGTATTCGAATGTCTCAATTGGTGGTGAGGTCTGCGTGTATTCACTCATAATGTACCCACGTCAAATTTAATTAATTCGAATTGAATGGAATTGAATTAGATTGAGTGTGAGTATGAGTATGTGTTTGGTCTCATACCACACGATCTTTAGTTCAATGAGTGAAAATAAATAAAGCAGAAAACACGAATTATATAACAAAGATAACATTATTTTGCACGCTAAATTTTTAGCGGTCGGGCCCCTGTTAAGTTCGGGCTACACAAATATGAAAACAAATATGTACATACAAATAAAACGAGACGACAAGTCCCGAAGTGTTCTGTTTTGCTCTGCTTTAATGCTGCAAGCTAAACAAACAAAATCGTAGACAAAGCAAACCAAACGAACCAAAATAATACGGTACTGAAATTACGGATTGAACAAGTAAGAACGTTGCAGTCGGGCGTTACCGACTGCGGAATACTCATTCACATCCCATCAACAATTTAGTAGTTAAGTTTCGTTCTAATACTGTAGAATATACAGGTTTTTCCGATTTGCCACGCCCCAACTGGGCGTAGACACCTCATTTTTGGTCAGTTTTTAGAAAGAGATAACGTTACCCTAACTGCAAAGTTTGAATGCTTACCCTAAAAAAATGTGAAAATTACAGGGTATTTTTCGATATGCCACGCCCCTAAAGAGGCGTAAAAATTATTTTTGGGGAATCGATAGAGGAGGCTACCAGTAACTCAACTATCCAAATTTGAAGCTTCTAGCTATTATACTTTAGGAGATATAAACTTTTGCGGTTTGCCACGCCCCCTGTGGGCGGACATATATCCGACAAAACTTTTTGGTCTTGGGTGATCAGTCCGAGTATATATACAAAATTTGAGGTCTCTGCCATCAATAGTGTCCAAAATATAGGAGAATTTAAAAAATCACTATATCTTCAGGTCCGATTTGCCACGCCCCCAACGGGCGTAGACTTATAATTTATNTTTTTTTGGTTAAATTCATCATCTTTTATTATTATTTTATTTTTATTTTTAATTCGAAATACTGTGAAAACTTGTTTGTATGTGTATTAAATAGTAATATGCTGAAGCTAACCTGAAATAAGCAAAATTGGTAACATTTGCTGCTAGTGAGAACGAACAAAATATTTGTACGTTCGCTTTTCATTCCTTGCTTCTTATGTTTTACCATATGGTTTCGTCCTTCTTATTATTCTAACATTTACTTTGCACAATTTTTCGATGTTTACTTCTCGTTTCGTTTCAGACTATGTGTTGTATGGTTAGTAGCTCAACGCATTTGGCGCTTTAATTTATCATTATTCCTTTTGCTCCTTGATATCGATGAATGTAAAATGGACTTGCTAGAGATCAAAAATGAAATCAGCTTCTATGAGCAGGTATACAGTTGATATATATGAACTATTTAATTCATTCATGGCTTATTTTGAATATAGAGCTCAGAATCTGAATGCCCGTCCCCCTTGGATGGCTCAGTGAATGTCATTGCTAATGATGGAACTCTGGATTATAAAAGTAAAATTATTAGTGGTCAGATACAGCTAAAGGAAAAACGCGGGCGGAGTCGAGTATGGAACATTTTTGCAACGATGATTGATGAAAATGGCGATGAAATTGAAAATTTTGTGGCATGTCGAAACTGTTTCAGTTCGTTCAAATTTGCAAGCAGTACATCGAATCTGGTCAAGCACAAATGCTACCGTAAGTACAAGGCAAAAGAGAATCTACGCAATCCAAAATATGTTTCACTGAACATCGAGGCCAAGGACAAATTGACTGATGCAGCTGTCCAGTGGTTGGTGAAAAACTGTCGCTCAAGCCACATACTTGAAGATTCTGGGCTGAAAGAATTTGCTCTCACCTTGCTCTCAATTGGCGCCGATGTTGGTGAAAATGTAAATCCAGAGGACATAATTCCAAAGCCTGCTACTATTGCACTCACCATAAATGAGTTGTACGAAGACCGGCGTCAAGCGATTATAGCTGAGCTAGGCAATGCCAAGAGAAACGGCTACAGCATCACAACAGCCATATGGATGGACAATTACTTAAAGCTGTCTTTAGCAACGGTCACTGTGCATTACATTCAGCAATCTGCCATGGTCAGTCGATTGCTCGCAGTTTATCCATTAGCAAGGGACACGAACACAGGTAAATGTTTATTGTCTCATTAAATTCATCGATTCTCTCACCCGTTCGCCCTCATACACGGGCTTTAGTTAGAGTAGTGAGTGAATGAAATAAAACGGAATGAAGAATTTTGCAAAACCGATAGCACTGGTACTGGAGGTTTGAAACGGTAAACTGGTAAACGGTACGGTACTGGGCATTCGAAAGCATCGCGCTCGAACGAATCAGTTTAAATGAGAAATATATACCGAAAAATTCGGCACAACAAATGTGAGCATATTAAGAAAAGAAGCAAGGACCGAAATATTTCATACTAGATCAGCATCGTAATATTGAATACACATAAAACATTTTTTTACAGTATGTTGAAATAATAATAATAATAAAATAATACATTTCAGTTCAGCTTATCGATCCCCATTAAATATACAAATTTGTATAAATACGTACATAAGTATATAGTTATTTATATAATTTAATTAACCATTTCAGGCAAAAATATCCGAGCCTGTGTGGAAAAATCATTACATACATTTGACTGCAATTTGGATGAGGATGACCCCATCATTGTGACGAATGGCGATGCAGCCGAAGGGGATGCCATAGTGGATGCCTTTAAAAATCAGCGTAAAATACGTTGCATAAAAAGCTTGTTGGAGAACGCAATTGAAGAGGTCTTTAGAGAGAACGTCGATTTGTATCAGTTGCTACAAAAGTGCATTAGCTTAGTTGAACAATGTGAAACGTCCAGTAGATTGAATTACCTGCTATCAGAATCTGACCCTATGTCTCAACATTATTCAATTATGTACTACTTTGAGTTTGTCGCCGCCAATTGGGATGCTTTATCAGAGAGTATAGTTGATAAATCGGAGTCTACAACAATCAGTATTGAGATTAAGGCTGTATCCAATATTTTAGTTTGCTTTACACAAACGTTTGAGGCCTTGAAGGAGCACAATACACCCACATTGCATATTGTTATCCCTCATCTGCATAAGCTCACTAAACTTTGTGCGAATAATGTCGAGGATAATTCAAAAATTAATTTATTGAAAAGTTCATTGAGAACCTATTTAGAATCAATCGCCAAAAATCATATAACGAAATTTCACAAAATCGCCCTCTTTCTTTTTCCGCCTACAAAGAAATTGTTGCTCTATAATGAGCGTGAAAGGAAGGACATAATTGCAGAATGTAAAGCAATGATGGAAGAATTTTACATCGAACCCGATAATGGTCCAAAAAGGATTAAATTAGATGATGAGTATCATGATTCTGACATCTTTTCCGATTTTGTGGAGCAAATCTCCACGGATACTAAGGCCGATGCCATAAATAATGAAATTAACGAATATCTGAGCAGAAATGTTGCGCTTAGCAAAGTGTTCTGTATCCTAGACTGGTGGCGATCAAATAAAGGTGTATTTCCCCTGCTCTATCAAGTCAGCTGCAAAATCCTTACTACACCTGCAACTATTGCACTTTCACAACGGGCTGTTCTGCAAGCGCAGAATCTCTTTAGTGATCAGTCGAGCTCAATTCAGTACTCCAAAGACGTGGTAAATGAAATAATATTTTTGAATAATAATATGGATACCATGTAAAATGTAGTTATCGCAAAATATTTTGAAGGGGTTTTTTTTTTTCTTAATAAACCAATTTATAAAGTTTTACAAATCGAGTTTTCTCTATCTTGTATATATAACTTTTGTTCATTTTTTTTAATTGACATAAACATATCTACGTACTCAATATTTAAATTTTACCGCGAAGGCAATAGTGCTGCCACATTATATATTCGAATGGCCAGACATATACATATTTTGAGTACTTTATTTTTACAAAACTATCGATAGTTTCTACTTAGTCCGAAGAGTGAAAAATACTCATAAAGTAATATGTATATGTGTTGGTATATGCATACACATACATGTGCATGGTATATATTTACAAACCTATATATGGATACGTATAAGTACATATGTATGCATACATTTCTACATACATCGAGTTTTATTGGTTTATTGATAAAACTCGAAAAGTATTCACATCGATTAACTATGCCAAATTGTCTCGTATGTCTATCTATATAACTAAATATACGTATAAATACCTACATGTATACATTTATATACTTATGTACATACATGAGTACATTTGCATTGTTCCGATTTGTATGGTTTCAATCAATTTCAATTTGTTGCCCACACAACCGCCCACAGATATACGACAGAGCCGGCTTCATGGATTGGAGCTGTCGTCATCAGCGCTTGAGGTGAACTTGAATCATACAAAAACTG